GCTGACTCTGTCTAGTTAGCCTGGGCTATATTTAAGGCAGATCTTACGGGGGTTTCCACTCCCTATATTCCACTCATGAGGAAAAGAGTGTTACGAGCACCGTTTCCATTGATAGATACTACAGGCTAATTCCTACTCAAGAAACGATCTAGATGCTGGCGAACCTACCAAGCAGCACCATCAGCCAGTACCTATGATAGTTATCGAGAGATTAGAAATAAATGTAAACAACATTTCATGACTGTTCGTCTCCAGTACGAGCAGTGTTTAGCGGCCTCGGCCGCAGCTAATCCCAAGAAGATTCTGCTTATGTTAAAAGCCACAGCGGGGCAAAGCTGTCTATACCGGCGTAATTGCGAGCAGATGGGACCCGTGCGCAAACTGACTATGACAAGGCTTATATACTTAGTGATCAGTATACTGGGGTGTTTGCTCGGAAGACCTCTTTACCCCAGGTTTAATTGGTTTTAAGAGTTCCAGAGTATTCTTGCTTCGCTGAGTTTAACATAACGGAGACTCAGGTCTTCGAGCTACTGCAAGGCACTAATCCCTCTAAAACTTCCGGTCCTGATTCAAACCATCCGAAGCTGTTGCATGAATTGGCCACTGAGCTGAGTGGTCCTCTCACATGCATGCCTCCAATATCGCTTGACAGCTGCATCCTACCTTCGGAATGGAAGAAGGCAATCATCTGCCTGACTTTCAAAGGTGGTGACAGCGGTCTGCCAGCGAACTACCGGCCTGTAAGTTTGACAAGTGTGGTATTAAAGTTCTTTGAAATGCCGATAAGTGTTTCAGTGGAGGAACACCTGAATGGATTCAGCCTTCTCATGGTTGCGCAACATGGTTTCTGCAAATGATGTTTATGTCAGGCTAATCTACTTCTAGCTCGTGAAAGCTAGTCCGGAGCGGTAGACGGTGGCCACGCTGTGCTCATGCTATTCGTTGAACTTTTCGAAAGCTTTTGACATTTCCTCATCTTCGACTCTCACTAAAGTTGAGGTCTTACGGTATATTTAGTCGCGCCCTTCAATGGGTGAGTGCCTTCCTTGTGGGGAGGGAACAGTGCGTACGGGTGGGACGTAGCGTTTCGCTCAGGCAAGCTGTCCTTAGTGGCGTCTTGCAGGGCTCGGTATTGGGGCCATTGTTGTTTGCGATCTATGTAAATGACTTGCCGGGAGACCTAGGAGTGTCATCACTAATGTTTGCTGATGACCTTAACCTCTGGAATATTGTGGATATCCCGGGGGATCCTGAGGCAATTCAAGGTGTCTTGGATAGACTCTGAGTGGTCTACCTTATGGTTGATGCCTATAAATAGAGCCAGCTGCTCTGTTCTCCGAATCGGAGCTGCTATTCCTCCCACCCGATAGGTTTTCGGTGGTGGCGAACTCCCTGTTGTCACTCAGCAGGTTTGTTTAGGGGTCCTACACTCATCAGCACTTCATTCTAGCCACAATTGGAAGAAGGCTGCTTGTCGGCGGTTTCGTATGATGTGGTTTATCCGCCGGTCTTGGAATCCTAACGACCAATTTGTTTGTGAAGCTGTTCTCTGCATTCGTCCGACCCCACCTGGAATATTGTATCCCGGCTTGTCCACTGTCTTAACCAAGACAAAATGGACTTGGAGAGGATGTTACGAGTGGGCACTCGGTTAGCGCAGGGTCTACGGGGACAGACTTATCCTGAACACTTGCTCAGTTTGGGGATGTGCTCATGCACTACCGAAGGATATGAGGGGACCTGATTCTCACTTATCGTGTTTTGACGGATAAGATCGGCCCGGACTTATCAAGACTATTTAGTCCCGCTACGTTACTTAATCTCCGCGGTCGCTCACTGAAACTACATAAACCACGGTCTGATAGGATTAGGACGGAAACTCGTCTGTCGCGCCGAGTTATAGATCACTGGAATTCGCTTACGGATCACGTGGTTAGGGAACCTACGGTCAAGGGTTTTGAGCGCCAGCTGGATGCTTTTGGGTGGCAACACAAAATCTTTCCTTTTTCCCAACTGACTCACCTTCACTTTTCATTTCTTTTTTCAGTGACTCATATACCTTGGTATTCTACTTGCTTAGCTCTTTCCACTTTCTCTTTTTGCCTTCAGATGTCACTAGCAGCACTTTCTCATTGCGCCTATCCGGTGACGATGCAGCTTCGAGCACCGGCCAACCCCGTGTTGGTATTGCCCTTAGTCCCCGGGCTGAAACTGCTCTGGTTGATTGGATTCCAATCAGTAGCCGGATGTGCGCGGTCCGATTGGCTGGCTCGTTCAAAACTTCGAAGTCGCGCGGGACTAACCGGTGTCTATCCGTTATCGCTGCCTATGCACCGACAAACTGTAGCGATGACTCGGTAAAAGACGACTTCTATCGTCAACTGAACGAGCTCCTTAGCCACAGAAGAAGCTCGGACACTGTAGTGCTGGCCGGGGATCTGAACGCTCAAGTTGGAAAATTATCCACAGATGAGCTGCATCTGGGCGGCCAACATGGTATAGGCTCCCGTAATGATAACGATGAGCGCTTACTTCATTTGTGTGAGGATGCTCGCTTATTTATTGCGAGCACTAATTTCCGCCGCAGTACCCGCCGGAGGGTGACTTGGCGTTCACCAGCCTCGAACCAGCTATGGACGCAAATCGATCACATTGCGATAACTTACCGATGGAGAGGCTGCGTCCAGAACTGTCGCTCGATTTGGAGCACAGGTGTGGACACCGACCATGCACTTGTATGTGCTGACCTGCGGATGCGCTTTGGCGGATGCCCAATCGATGTTGTGAGCGCATTGACACCGGCCAACTGCCGAAGCCAGCTGTTCTGAATGCCTATCAAAGTACGCTGTCATGCGAGTTGGATAAACGCTCACTGGATGCAATTGAAGCTCACTGGTCTCATATTCACCCGACCTTACTAGCAGCAGGAAAATCCTCATGTGGTATGTCTAATCACCAACATGGACCTTGGGTCTCTTCACAGTCTCTGGAACTTATAGATGCTCGCCGGCATATTCCGGCTGGAAGCGAACACAATGAAACTCGCAAAGAGCTCCGGGCGAAACTCCGCGCTAGCCTGAAGAGAGACCGCGAATCCTGGTGGTCTCATCGTGCAACAGAGATCGAAATGGCCGCTGCCCTTGGTAACCATCGTGAGTTATTCCGTCTGATACGGGAAACGGACAGCAAGAGACCTGATATTAGTGAAACTATACGTGACGAGAGTGGACAGCCTATCCACAACTTATCAAAACGCTTGGAATGTTGGGCTGAGCACTTTGAAAGGCAATTTAATCGGCCGGAATTGTTAGATTTCTCGCCGACCAGTGATCGCCCTGCTCCGTGGGCTGTTCCTTTGGATCCACCCTCTCGCTCAGAAGTCGAACGTGAGATCGAACTGTTGAAGTTAAATAAAGCCGCGGGACCTGGTGACCTTCCTCCAGCCCTCTTCAAATTCGGCGGAACTGCTCTTGTGGATGATTTGCACGAGTTACTAGTCAAACTGTGGGAGCAGGAAACTGTCCCAACCGATTGGAGCCGCTCCACGATAGTCCCAATTTTCAAAGGAGGCTCACGATCGGAATGCGGCAGCCATAGAGGAATCAGTCTGCTCTCCATCGCCTCCAAATTGCTTGCCTCTGTCATCCTTCACAGACTGACTGGCACTCGTGAAAGCCAGATTCGTGAAGAGCAAGCTGGATTTCGTCGTTGTCGTGGCTGCATTGACTACATCTTCACTTTGCGTCAGTTGTTGGAGCACCGTCACACATATTGACGGCCGACCCTTGTCGTGTTCCTCGATATCAAAGGTGCATTCGATTCGGTGGATAGACATGCACTTTGGTACTGTCTACTCAGGAACGGTGTACCTGAGAAATATGTGAATATTATCCGAGCATTATATGCGCGTAGCTCGGGCCGAGTGAGGGCTTACGGCAAGTTGTCGTCGCCCTTTAATATCTCCAGCGGTGTGAGACAAGGATGCCCGCTGTCACCTTTCCTCTTCAACTTCGCTGTTGACGAAGTCATGGAAATCGCGTTCACACGATACGACTTAGAAGGTGTGGATCTGCTCCCAGGAGAACGACTTCTTGACTTAGAGTATGCTGATGATATTGCCCTGATCTGTGACAGCTCATAAATGTGCCAAGCGGCACTGGACAGATTAGCACTAGCTGTCCGTCACTTCGGTCTTTGCTTCGCACCCTCGAAGTGCAAAGTGTTCCTCCAAGATTGGTCTGGACCGCCTCCTACGCTGACCCTTGGTGGGGATCAGCTAGAAGTCGTTCAGAAATTCAACTACCTAGGAAGTTGTATCAGCGCCCGTGGGATTGAAGATGAGATCACGAACTGTATAGCCAAAGCTCGGGGCGCTTTTGCTAACCTTCGCCACTTATGGCGCCGGCGCGACATCACTGTTGCCCTGAAGGGTAGAGTGTACAATGCAGCAGTACGTTCGACCATACTGTACGGTTGTGAAACCTGGCCGCTTAAAGCAGCGGACCTGAAGAGGTTAGTTACGTTCGACCACCGGTGCCTTCGTAATTTAGCTCACATCTGGTGGGAGCACCGCGTGAGCAACGAGCGTGTTCGACGCCTAGTTTATGGCACAGGAAAAGGAACTGAACCGCTCAGCACCGTTATTTCACGCATCAGGCTCCGATGGCTTGGCCACGTGTTACGCTTGCCAGCCCACCGACTTCCGCGACGTGTTTTGTTTGCTCACCGGGGATGTGGATGGAAGAAGAGGAGGGGTGGCCAAGCGATGACTTGGTCCAGAGGAATGAAGGCTCTCACTTCTGAGCTGGCCTCGGTTGGAGCGTCTCGGCTCCCTGGTTGGGGTCCGAAAGACGAAGAACACGTTTGGTTGGACACACTTGCTGATATGGCTAGGAGCCGACCTCAGTGGCGTTCGTGCTGTGAGTTTCTTTGTCCCACCCTATCCCTCTTAACCTCCCCCTCCAACCATGATCTCTCTATTTAGCCTTATATAATTTTGCATGGTAATTTTTTTGGTGCACAGCAGCCGGCTGATAGCTTACCGGAACGATGCCCATCCGTTACTGGTAGCTCAGCCAGCTTGTACCGGTTGCATTTTTTCTCCTTTTTTCTATGTATTGCGGCACAGTAGCTGAGGTGTTCCCCACCTCTAGCTAACGTGTATGATGATGATGATTTTGCCTTCCGAGTTTACTTTTTTATCTTTTTTACTTCACGCAACCGGCCCAGCATGGACTGCTAGGGCAGGAAACGTGGGCATTAATTGGTTGGACAGGGTGTGATGCGGTCTTTGTTTTAGGTCGATCAGCACTTCCAAGTCTGCCAACTGCTAGTTCAACAACCCGCTGAAGAAAGAACACTCACGCGATAACCCTATCGTTCCAGTCGCGCTTGGACTTGAAGTCGTTGATAGAAGTATTCTGTCTTGACGATGCGGACCGATTACGGGCTACACTTGATACGTTACATGAGTGGTCAATCAATTGGCGATTACTCATTAATCGCGATAAGTGCTCGGTCCTCCCCGTTGGTGTTTTTGTACCTTTCAGGACGTACCACATTGGTGTGGCGGTGATCAGAACCTCAATCCCTGAAAAAGACCTCGGCGTGGTGGTGTCATCTGATCTACGGACTAAGCAGGACATGTTACGAATTGTTGCTGCTACCGACAGGATGTCTCATACCATACGAAGAGGCTTCTCGCGTTTGACTTTGGATATCTTCAGACTCTTGTTTACTTCCCATGTGCGTCCCATTCTCGAATACGGATTACCTGCCGTCTTCCCTCACCATTTTCTAATGTGACCTCTGCGAAGCTCCAACGGCGGAGATCGAAATACATCTTGGAGTTACGGGACTTATCCCCGGAGACTTCAGCGGATGAACCTGTACTCCCTGGTTTACCGCCGATATCGCGGTGACCTGATTTTCACTAGGTGCATCCTGAGAGGAGAGATGGGGACGGTGCTACAGGCGTGCTTTCAATTCAGTACAAACAGTTCAACTCGAGGCCGCAACTGTTTAAACCCAGAAGTCTCTGGGTTCCTCCTGTTCTCGCTCTCAACTCGCGTAGTCAACGATTGGAATGACTTACCGAAGCATGTGGTCGATGCCCAGACTGAGAAATGTTTCAGACGAATATTAGATTCTTTTGAGTACGACGGGCCCTTGCAGTTTCCACTGTAGCTGTCACGGTCCCGTGTGGAATACCGCTTAGCAACGAATCGCGGCCCCCACACAACGGTCGGGAAACGATGGAGCTGACAAAGAATTTCAGCTTCTACTCCGTATAGTCTCCCATGGTCCCATGGTCGTCATGGTATGACGATTTGCTGACCATAAGGAACGCTTTTTCCTCAGGTGTGCTGGGTGGGTGTTCACACGTCCTCCGCGCAGGCGGTGTTCGACAGTCTCTTCAGTCGCCGTACACAGGACCTTTCAAAGTGCTACACCGTACTAATTGGACGTGCGCTATTGACCGCGGTGTTCGACTCGAAGTCCTTATCATCGATGGCCTCAGATCTGCTTTCGTCGACGAAGCCACTGAGCCTATGGTTACTTCGAACGCTACGTGCGATGTAACAAGTGATCGCGCCGCGTTACAAACACCTAGCATTACTGCAACGCGTAGCGATTTAGGTTCATAGTCTAGGGTCGTTCCGACGTCATTGTCTACTGCCAGCCTGTCGCCTCCTAGGATCAGTCGCCGTGACCGGGTGGTTCGTAATCCCGTTCGGTTTTCCGATTGTGTACAGTGTACAGTTTGTAAATATTTGCCCCGTTTTTGGTCGATTGGTGTTTTGAAATCATCATCGTCAACAGCAGTACATCAGCCATTTGAACTGATGCTTCGCTGCCATACAACCGTGAGGACCTATGAAATAAAGAATAAGAGGGAGAGAAGGGGGACTTACCTGAAAACCTTAATGCCCTAAGCAAACATTCAGGATCAAGGCGCCTACACCTTGTGTTAACAACATACCGTCACAAACAGCTGGCTATCGTGCAAAGATAAGGTGGCATCGGCGAGACAGCTTCCTTGCGGCTTTCACTGCCACGCGTCATAATCAGCCATTACCCCGTAGATAACTCAGCACCAAACACACTTTAAACAGACAATCCGATTAGGATACGGCAGCAGACGCGCCACTGGTGTCGGTTGCGAGCCATGTCCTGTTAAGTCTCGTGCCAAGCACAAGGTGAGTCACGTGGACTCCAACCCGGAAGGCGAGACGGACCAACGGCACCCAGTTTGGTCGTCAGTGACTTCATTTCCTGCTGCCAAGTCAACTTCTATGCACCTCGAGCCTTGCGCCATCCGACACCTGGTAGACTAAACAAGGCTCTCCTAGGTAAGCGGTGACCAGGCATGCGTAGCACGTGCCCGAGCCAACGTAACTTATTCAGTGCTATCTGTTGTTCTAGGGAGCTAGCATGATCATCACCCCCTAGTACTCGCCTACGCACATCATCGTTCCGGACACGCTGGTGCCATCCGACACCAGCAATGCTTCGCAAACAACGATGATCAAAGACTCAGATCTTCAGACCGATGGGGCCAAGTTTCACTACCATAGAGCAGAACGGCCCTCACTGTGGCCTTGTATACACGGCCTTTCAGACGGAGGGAAACTCCCTTCTGTCGCCAAAGATGACGCAGGTTCAAGAAGGCAGCTCTGGCCTTTGCAATGCGTGAGGTGACGTCAGTTCCTTTGCGCCCATCATTGCTGATGCAGCTACCAAGATAAGTGAATTGATCAACCACATCGAGTTCCTCATTAGCAAGCGTCAAGGGGTCATCGAGTGGCTGGTGGTCCTGCAGCAACACTTTGCACTTTGAAGGTGCGAATTGCATACCAAATAATGGGACCACTCTGGATAGGCTATTCAGGGTTGATTGTGCCGCCTCAACATTGTCGAAAAGCAAGACGATATCGTCCGCATAATCTAGATCAACTAACCGTTCACCAGGCAGCACTTCAACACCTACATCGTGAGATTCCGCAAGGGAACACTCCATGATAGAATTCACGACGAAATTGAACAAAAATGGGGAAATCGGGCAACCCTGTCGAACGCCACTTGTAGTCGAAAAGCTATCCGATAGGGCACCATAGACCCTGACGCGGCCTGTAGTGTTCGAGTATAGAGCACAAAGGATGTTCACATATTTCGTGGGAACACCTTTCCGCGTAAGTATTTCGAACAGAATCGATCGATCGACTGAATCGAACGCACTCTTGAAATCGAGGAACACAGCTATTGTCGGTCTGCGGTATGCGTGGCGCTGCTCTAGCACCTGCCGCAAAGTAAATATATGGTCTATACAGCCACGTCCTGGACGAAAACCAGCCTGCTCTTCTCTAAGCCGAGATTCCCGTTCTGCAGTGAGGCGACGAACGAGAATCGAGGCCAGTAATTTTGTCACAACTGGCGTTAGGCTAATACCCCTGTGGTTCGCACAGTCTGTGCGACTGCCCTTTTTGTATATTGCCACTATAATCGATTCGCTCCAATTAGCCGGCACACTTTCTTCGTTCCAGATACATTCGAATAGGGAGGTCAGTGCTTTGCAGAGGACCTCACCACCATCCTTAAATAGTGCAGGTGTTAGGGAATCCGGGCCAGCGGCACGAAAACGATTAAGGGCTGTGATCGCGTTTCGGACTTCGGCCTCCGACGGAGGCTCTAAACTAACCGTCCATGGCTCGTCCTGCATCACCTGAGTAGGAAGAGGTCCGGGAGCAGGGGGCCAGCTGAACTGATTTTCAAAGTGCTCAGCCCAACGAGCCATACGGCGCTCCTTATTGTGTATCAGCGCACCCGCGCTGTCCCTGATTGTCTCACTGACGCCTGGTTTTCTCGGACCAGTGGTGCGTATTAGCTGGAAGAGCTTGCGGTAATTGCCTACTGCTCCTGCCTCCATTTCTTGAGCCCTACTGGTCCACCAGTCTTCCTTGTCAGCACGTAGGCTCCGCTTTAGTTCACGCTTAATAGCCCGTCTGGTCACATTGTGTTCAGAACCAGCCGGGAGGTGCCTTCTAGCTTCCAAAAGGTTCACGGACCTCTCGGATATCCAGTGACTGGTGCGATGACGACTGATAGTGCCACAAGCAGATGCTCATGCGTCGTGCATAGTGGCCGAGATCTTATTCCACTGTAGTTCAGTATCATTAGGACAAGACAGCGAGAGTTCGCTATGCAGTGCTTCTTGATAGGTTTGCCTGACAGAGGGCTGGGACAATTTCTCCGTTGCCAATCGGGGGAGACGCTTTGTGCGCCTTCCGGTAAAGTTCATGGAGAAACGACAGCGCACCAAGGCATGGTCAGAGTCGACACAGGTACTCCAGTACGAGCGGCAATCCAGAATGGAACCGCGCCACCTGTAACTTATGGCTATGTGGTCAATTTGGGTCCAAAGCTGACCAGCTACAGGTGGACGCCAAGTGGTACTTCGGCGCCCACTGTGTCTAAAAGCAGTGCTAGTAAGAAACAACTGGTGCTCCGCACACAGTTGCAGCAGACGCTCGCCGTTGTCAGTCCGTTCGGAGTTAAGTCCATACTTACCACCCAGCTGAGCTTCTGAAGAGCTCAGACGCCCTACTTGTGCGTTCATATCCCCTGCAAGTACTATAATATCTGAACTAGTAGCACTGCGTAGCAGCGTGTTCAGTTCGTGATAGAAAGTGTCCTTGACTGCATTAGAACTGCAGTCCGTGGGAGCATAAGCGGAAATCACAGACAAACAGCGTTTTGTTTTACTTCGCGAATTCACCTTAGCTGATGTCGTCAAACGGGCTGCACATAAACGGCTGTTCACCGGAATCCAATCAACCAACGATAACTCAGCCTTGGAGCTGAGAATGATACCTACACCAGCTTGACCGGTGAGTGCCGCATCGGCGTCTCCGGATGCGTGCAACCAATAACGAGAGGATAAGCCGGGTGCAGTCAATTCAATAACCCCGTTAGGGTCATTAATCCTAGTTTCGGACACACAACA